CACACTACCACGAGCGCCTTTTGGGTCACAGTAAGGCTATGTGAAAGTTCAATGGAAACGTCAACTCAACTCATATCATTGTGGGAAAATTCTTCTTCTACCAGTCCTTCATCACCTTAAACGAAATAGGGTAAATACATCTCATAATACTGATTCACTGGTAGTCGCCAAAACAATACTTGATTCGAACAACTTTGATGAGCCTAACGCGAAAGCGGATGGGGTTACAGCGTTGAAGTAGAATAACATAAAATCATACTAAATTAGCTGTATGCCCTCAGGTTTCTGCCGCAGCTTGAGAAGAGGTAAATATGATTTCCTCAATCTTTACCTTACCTTATAGATTAATATATTTTCTAAACGAGTCAAGTTCCCCTTATCTATCTGAGGTGTATTTACTCTTTTTCGTCTAAGTTAATACGGAGACTTGAAAGCTGACTTGTATAAGAGAAGAAATTTTTCTTAGACCATCTTCATTATTTCTCTGATCAAATTTTTTTTCCTTTAAGCTTATCAAGATACGACGTGAGTAGTAAATTAGCTTCTTTAAGAATGAAAGTGAACATATGTCAAAATCTGCTGATACAAGATGCTAATAGGGTTGTTTATTAGATACCATGCCTATAGCCGGATATCCCCAGTGAAAATGCGATTTTATCAGAGCCATCATTTGAAAGTGACCAGCAATCGGCTTATATGACCTACCGATATCAAACATGTCTTCAAGAAGCCTCTGAAAACGCTTAACCTTACGGAAATGTTGAAAATAGTTGATTTTGTTTGCACAGTCAGCAGTCTTAGAGTCAGACTTACATGAAAAAGCTAATGATTGCTTAATTTTTTCGTGATTTTTAAATGGTTAGGGGGACTTTCATTTCGTATGAAAGCGCATGAAGAAGAGATTAGTTGGTCGATCTCACCAGATGAGGATGGATGAATCGAGGGAGGAAGTTTCCTGGACTGCGTCAACATGATCATCCGTCTTCATCTGGTGAGATCGACCAAAGAATCTCTTCTTCATGCACTTTCATACGAAATGAAGGTCGCCCTAACAATGTTATCTCAGGAGATTCGTCGAAACCAAGTTTCTCTTCGTATCTACCATTTTTTATTTGTTGATCCGCCCTAACTACAGACACTTACTTTCCAACTCAGCCTGGCGAACGAGACATCCACCTAAGGACACACGGTTTTGCACATCTGCCTTTAAGGTCATATGTAGATTGTTTGGGTTTTTTAATATCTGTGACTTAAATACTAACAAGAAGGCAGATAAACTTTTTTTAGTAGTCCTTAGGCTGTGAGTGATCTAGCGTCATTTTTGATGAAAAATTTCATCATCCTATCAATTTCCCCATTATTATGCATTTCTTTTAGCATATTCCTCAGTGTCCCGTTGATTTTCATAGTTGGATCCTTCCTTAATATTTGATAGATGTTCCGGTTGCCTAGGATACTTTGCATTTTATACGCAGGAAAAACTATTTGTTCATTCATTTGTAATTTTCTACGTAACTTCGTCAATCCACTCCTGTTCATTGGCTTTGGATGAGATAGATTTCTCTGGTTTAATTCCATGTCCATCTCCCGTTTGGTCTCTTCTGTGAATTTATCCGAGATGTTGATAACTTCTACAAGGATATCTTCTAGAATGATCCCTTCATTACCGATTGGAAAATGTAAAGCTTTCTTCAGGACATCCACCGTTTCGAAAGCAGGAGAGATTGAAGACAGGTTCATCACTTTGTCCTTATGTTCGGTTGTAGCAGTCGATGCCTTCAATCAAGTCCACACTTAGACTCTGGAAATAATCATACAGACAATGGACTCCGGACAAGGTGTGTTTCTCTAGGTCTTCCTGCCAATATGACCGAGTTGCGAAAACAAGGTTCTGTATTGAAGGCATCAACTGCTACAAGCGAGGATAATGAAAAGGTAATAAACCTGTCTTCAAACTCTCTTGAATTGGAAACGGTGGATCTCCTGAAGGAAAGTTAAATTTTTTTAAATCTGTAACGAATGGAGCATTCTAGAAGATATTCTTCTAGAAGATAGCAACATCTCGGAGAAATTCCAAGAAGAGACTAAACTGGATATGAAAATGGAATTAACACCGATAATTATATCCCATCAAGAGCCAATGAAAAGGGGTGGATTGATGAAGATGCGTAGAAAATTATGAATGAAGAATTCTAACCGTCAGCAAATTGCTTTGAAATTTGGTGAACAGGAGATTGGAAGAGGGAAGAGTCCGCGATAATTTCGCATACAGCCTGAGCGGACCTGGAGATTCAACGAATACATCAAAAAGAAGACGCTTGGACGCTTGTTTAACAATAAGAAGAGACATCACCAGGGGGTGGCTCATGAGTAACAAAGTGAAGTCAAGAAAAGGCGACTGCAGTGGGAGGAGTCAGACATGGAATTGGCCAAAAGAATCTACCCACAGATTTCACCTACGAGATATAGGATATGGTATTAAGGGCTGAAGGTTTAGGTGGGCTAGGACGAGGTCACCAGAGTCTGTGCATAGGTGTCGTATGTATTTTTCGTATGTGTCAGTCTTTAAAACAGGGGGATGCCAATAAACACATCATCCCAGTACCCTAAGATTAGGTGGGAATGTCAACTTGAGAGGAGAGAGGACGAGAAAAATGGAAGTGGTGTGATTATGACTTAAGCCGAACCCAGGACCCAAAAGAATGATGCACAATGTAGGTGTGGATGAGGCAGAGGATAATTGAGTCATGCGTTTGAAGCCTAAGGTGAAGAAGACTCCCAGACACCGGCATGCATGAACATGTGCCTCATCTGCTCTAACTCCTCGAAAATGGAACAATCGAGGGCAAGAATTGAAACTTTTTAGGCAGCCAAAGTTCAGACAGCCAAACAAGGATTTTGATTCATTAAGGTGGTTGACCTCGTTGTCGCAACTTGGTCTTGTTGTCAGGGCGACTTAGTAGAACGCACCTAAGCCAAAGTCGTCTGCCTCAGTAGTTGTCATGATTCCCAACATCAGACAGTGGACTTGGTACATAGTCAAATGTTTCACTGGCATCGTAGTCGGCCTCATCAGTCAGTTTTGCCAGTATCCTCGCCAAACTACGAATTCGTCAAAGAGGCAACTGAATTCGATCGCTCAACAAAGGTTTGCCGAAAATGGTTACACTAACACTCCTCTTTCTGCCCTGGTCTATCTATCTACTCTTTACCCTCTTCTCCCACTGCCGCCCCATCACAATTTCTGATTTGTTTACATTCAATTCCATTTTGTGTCAAATCTAGTGTCCTCATCACACTTGCTATTTACCTCGACCCTTCTCTTTCGATCGGCTTATCCGACTCGGTCTTCCAATCCGGATCCCTTCATTGACTCATGGATCCGTTCCTTAACTTTCTGGTGTGCATTTCACTTCTGGCGCTATTTCTCAAGGCCATAGAAGCTCGTACCCTGCCACCTCACCGAGCAGAGTGCCTTGACTGTGATTCCCATGCTTGAGATATCAGGCATACCCTTCACGGGTCATCTCCTTGGTTAAAACCATGTTATCTGAGCAACTGTGGACACCTATTTTGGTCGCATGCGTCATCTTAAGTGGATTTTTGGTACATCTTGGCCATAACGCTGAATTTCCGTGACGGTTTGCTGATCTGTCTGTCCAGCTCCCTGACTGCCAGATCCACAAAGTTGTACTGGTTTATTCGAAACTGACATCACTCAGTGACGTCATTGCTTGATTGCCGAAAACCCCTGCCCCCACTTTCTTTATTGCGATCCATTTTCCTCCGGTTAGCGGTAGATCTTTGATCCAGGTGTATCCTTTATGCTGGTCTGGCTCTATTCTTGTTTTCGTATTAGAGTAGGGTTTCGAGACTACCAGTAAATCAGTGTAATGAGATGTATTCAGCTCAACTCATATGATTGTGGGAAAATTCTACTCCCAGTCCTTTATCATTTATTCTTGTTTTCCCCGAGTTTGCTTAGGCATTAGGCAAAGTTATCTCTAACTCTACCTTCCTCCAATCTCCTGTTTATTAGATTTTTCTCCCCTACGATGTCAATGGCCTTCCTAATCTTCCGCTTCCTTGTGTTGTCCCCGAATAGAGCTTTTATTTCTGTTGCCTTCCAGTCTGTGCGATGTGTTCCGCTCGATCCGATCTTTCGGTATCCATTTTCCTGCAGAGCCTATGATGTTGCGTGATTCGTATGTTAACTTTTCTCCCTGTTTCGCAAATATATTTCTAATCGCTGGCGCCGCATGATATATAGTAAACTCCGGAACAATCCAATTTATCTACCTTTTCATGTTGCGTCGGTAGACTTGTGAAAAGTGTTGATTTCTCTTTCATGGCCACCTGAATATCCCATTTCCTCAATATTGGACGTAGTTTTTGAGTTTGTTCGCAGGAAGATAGGCATATTCACTTTTGTGAATCCTTCTCCTTTCTTACTGTTCTTTCATAGTCTCCGTTCTACCATCTGCTTTTCACGGCGCGTATGTTTCATTTTATCACTTCGTTTGGGTAGCCACTGACGAGAAATATCCTCGTCAATTTCTCCAGCTCCTCGTCCCAGAATTCTACATCCGTCAGGCGTAGGCTTCTGATGATCATGCTCCTCATTATTCCCATCTTTAGCCTGTGATTTCGATGGGATCAGAAATTGAGTATTATCCCAGTATAGGACTACTTTATGAACAATTTATTTTTTAGTGTCCTATTAGAGCGAATCATTTCAACGTCCAGCAACGCTAAACGCTCATCTTCCTCTACTCCCATCGTGAATTGAATTTTGTCATCAATCAGGTTTACAAAATTCAGAAATTCCTCTAGTTTTTCTCTTCCATGCTACTAAAGTGCGATATAATCTTCCAGGTACCGCATGAGCACTGCCGGTTGTAGAGGTGCCATCTTGAAGCTCCCTGCTATTTTGTTCATGTATACGTTCGCTAAAAGTGGTGAAGGCGGCAATCCCATGGGAAGTCTAAATATTTGTCTCGTTGAATGTAAAATAGATTGTCCTTATTGTCAAGTTGATTAGTCTTGTTAACGACTCCCTCCTGATCCGTTGTGATTCCGGGATATCCTACTCTTGGTCAAGAATTTCCAGCAGGGCCGTTAACGCATTTGTTCCAGAGATACTTGTATACACGAATTCCACAACGAAACTTACCAATAAGTCCGTTTCTTCCAGCGCCTGCGAATAGAAAAATATTGGCGAAATAGGGAACAAAATTAGCACAGGAATCAAGGAAAATCAGAGGTTCTGCAGGAAAATGGATACCGAAAGATCAGAACTACCGGAACACATCGCACGGACTGGGCACGAGATGAATTGGAAGGGAACAGAAAGAAGAGCGCCATACGGTGACAACACAAGGAAGCGGAAGAAAGTGGGGGACAGGAGTTTTCGGCAATAAAGCGAAGACGTCGTAAGTGAGTGATGTCCGTTTCGAATAAACCAGTACAACTTTGGACGTCTGGCGGTCAGAGAGCTGGGCAGGCGGATAAGCAAACCGTTACGGAAATTCAGCATTATGGCCTAAATGTACCAGAAATCAACTTGAGATGTCGCATGAAACCAGAGATAGGCATCCACAGTTTGCTCATATAACATGGGTTTAATCAAGGAGACGACCCGTGAAGAGTAGGTCTGATATCTGCAAGCATGGCAATCACAGTCTAGTCACTCTGCTCGGTGAGGCGGCAGAGTACGTGCTTCTAGGGCCTTGAGAAATAGCGCCTGGAGTGAAACGCAGAGTGGGACTGGAAGCGAGTGAAATCGGTCAACCAAAAAGATAATGAACGCATCCACGACTTAATGAAGGGATTGGGATTGGAGGCCCGAGTCGGATAAGCCGATCGAAAGAGAGGGGTCGGTGTAAATAGCAAGTGTGATGAGGACACTTGATTTGACACAAAAGGGAATGGAATGTAAACAGATCAGAAATTGTGATAGGGCGGTAGTGGGATAAGAGGATAAAGAGAAGTGTTAATGTAACCGTTTTGGGCAAAATTTGTCGATGGATTGACTTGGTGCGGATACTGACAAAACTGAGTGATGATGCCAACTACGATGCCGGCGAAACGTTTGACGATGTACCAAGTCCACTGTTTTATGCTGGAAATTATGACAACTACTTTGGCAGACAGCTTCGGATTAGGTGCGTTCTACTATGTCGTCCTGACAACAAGACCAAGTTGCGACAACGAGGTCAATCCACTTCTGTTAACGATTTAGTTTACTTTATTCGTTTTAAGCTTTGGATTTGATATAAGAATCCGTCTGATTGCAAACGTGGTCTCTACATATATAGAGAGGGATGAGAGATTAATAGAATATGTTTAATAAACATATTCAATCTTATGTTTTATAGCATCAATCCTATAAACTACAAACCAGTGTCCAATAACATTTATCGCCAAGTTTTTTGTTACATTTGGCCTTTGAATCCAACAGCCTTTACAGACATTTTTGTGTTTCGCCTTTACTGGTGATTTAGACCGTAGATCGCCCCAACACAAATTTTTCTATTTAAATACAATATTTTGTGAAATTTACCTCGACTCAATGGATATATACCTTTCTATCAGTGAGGATAGATGAGAAAAAGTTCGGACCCGCTTTAGCTAGTCATCATATCCAATTATATTACTTTACAATCCGAAGCGATTTTCGATCAAATCTAATGGATTCTTGTAGATACGAAGAAAAACTGGGTTTCGATGAATTTCTTGAGATAACATTGTTAGAGGGACCTTCATTTCATATGAAAGTGCATGAAGAAGAGATTCGTTGCGATCTCACCAGATGAGGACGGATGACACTCGTTGTACTGCAGCCGGTTGGATTGTATA